AAATACTTCAATAATTAAATAATTTTAAGCACTTTTTTATTGTAATAAAAAACATATCTGTATTAAAACACAAAACACACTGTAACAAGTCGTATAATATATATAGTAATTTAAAAAAAATTTATGTATTTACAAAAATTGATTCAAAATTTAAATAAAAAAGGAAGGATTTTTTTATTGTACCAACATCAATTTAATTATAGAAGGATTTAACTCATCCAGTCACTTTTATTAGATTTAAAAAAAAGTATTAAAATCTAGTTTTGTGGGATAATTGTTTTTTCAAATAACTGTGAACCGTTTTGGAAATACAATTGTTTTTACAATTTTCTAAAAGTCTTAAATAAAAATTATGTCTTTATCGAATTTTGAAAAAAGACAAGTTTTTCACGTAACCGTCTTAAAATCCAGCAATAAAGATTTTTCCTGTTTTTCCCTGGTCAATTCACAACATTGCTCAATAGGTAAATATTTATTAAATAATAATATATTAAATATTAATACTTAAACAATAAGTATTAAATAGTTAAAAATATAAATGAAATAATCGTAGCTAATTCCGATTTTTAATTAATTTATAGATATAAAAATTAATAATAAGTTTCTTTATTATAAAAAATATGAAAAAACATTGCGTTGTATAAAAAATTTTGATTTAAAGAATGCAAGAAATTTATTTACAATTATTATAAATAATTTATATTATTATTGACAAATAATTATAAATATTTATTATAAAATGCAGATACTTTAATTTTTAAATTAATTTATTAAATTACAAATTGACGATTTAAATGTCCACCATACATCTCGGTAAATTTAATTAATTAATTAATGATAAAAGCCATAAACATACGTTGATAAATGTTCAAAAAGTTTTTCTAATTATGTTACTTTTAATTGAATAATATTTTAATAAAAATTTGACAAGTCCAGAATTTTTTATAACGAGATTCAGTATTTAATAAATTTCATTTTTAAAGAATTACCTTAAATCGTTTTATATAGCTGCTAGTTTCACAAATAATATTAATATTAACATTGCAATATTATTTCAATGCCCTTTTAATTATGACACTAATTTAATAATAGAATTTAAAAATATTTCGTTGAAAACATTTTTAAATTTTCCCGCCATTCGTGTCAACTGATGACGACAAGGCTTGCAGCTTATAAAGACCCGAAAGTTACCCACCTTCAGGTTGTTGGTTAGGTTAGTGGTTAGGGTTCTTGGCTGTTGTTTTGCGCGTCCGGGTTCAATCCCCAGCTCCTCCAAATTTATTTCCGAAAATTGCGCCGTTAATGTTGGGGAAAAATAAAAGAAAGCGCAATAAGGGAAAAATAAATTTTTTTAATTTTACTTTTATTTAATAAATATTATAAAACATTTATAATAAACTTACCTTATAAAATTCACTAAAAACTTGTATTTTAATTTTACAGGAAATTTGCCTATATATCTTATTTAGAGTACTTTCCGGAGATAGTTTTAAAGAAATTCACAAAGCAAATTTCTGTAAAACTCAAAATTTAATATTTCCTAAACTTTTATCCACAATTTTTCGGCAAACTTAATCGGATAACTATCCTGAACTTCGCACCGCGAGTTATAAAACCGAGGACATATAGAGCTCGCCTGAACTTCCCCTGAAGCTCCCCAACTTAGTTTCCGAACTTAACACGGGGAACTCCCCGCGAACTCCCTGCGAAAAACGGTGCTGTCTGGGTGCGCCATCTACTGATGTTTCTCCAAATAGAGAAATTTGTAGAATCATTGGCATTAAAATCTGTTAATTCTACAAGTTTGAGCTACAGTTCTTAAAAACTGTTGAGTGACCAAATTATGTATACTATATGGGGATAATATATATTTGGTAGAGTATTTCTTATAGGTTATATTCTCCTCCGAATACATTAAATTCGCGGAACATTATTGTATAAATTAGTATAACTTCTATGTAAATAAATCCATCCTTCAATAATTTTCTAACAAAAAAAATGAGGAGCAAGTTTTCAAAACTTATGATAAATCCACTTTTTCTTATGTCGAGAAATTGAAACAAACGACTTTTCTCACTTAATCACTCCAGTTAATTTTAAAATAAAAAATTTGTAATAATTTATATCTATAATAATGTTTATATACTTAAGACGTTTCCTTTTTAATTAAACTTTCTTGCCGACACTATGATAATAATAAAAACACTAAATTAGCCTTAACCTCTCGCACTCAATCGTACTCAGCCTTAGTCGAATCACTGCATTGTTTTCGCGCATGCGTTAAATCCTTACAGAAAATATCTGTAGAATTAACAGATTTAGGAACCTGTAAAATCTCTAAATCGATGTTAAAGAATTACCAGAAAATTTTTTTCCGTGCAGTATCTTTGCAGCATAATTTTTTAAATGTTAATAACTTTTTCCCAGTTCAATATATTTTAAAATTTTACACACGATTTCTGTGCAGAATTTCTTAAACTTCTAAATGAAGAAAGTAGAAAAAACAACTAAACTAACTTTTAAAATACGTATCCCCCTTTATTTGTTTCTTTCAAAAATGTAGTTTATTGCCGAAAAGAGCAAACAAAATTTATTAATTTTCCCACCCCTTTCTTCCTTTCAATTTTTTTCAATACTACTAGTATAACTAAAGTGTTCCTTATTTTATTAGCTTTTCATCCTCCAAAATTTGTTTTGGGACTGCAAAGTGCGTACGAGCTACAAATTAATATATGTGTAATTATATATTATACTAGAACCACTAAATCAATAAAATTATTACTGTTTTCCTCATTTTCCAATAAGTCTTATCTTTTAATCACAAATTAAAGGAAGAAAAATAATTTAAGACCACAGGTAAACATTAGGCACAAATCGGTGAGTTGCTCTGCATTAAATATATGCATTACATATTACTATAGCTCGTACGCACTTTAATGTCCCGAAGTAGAATTTGAAGGGTGAGAAAGTTAGGAAATAAGGAACATTCTAGGGTAGTTTTAAAAAAATTGAAAGAAGGGAAAAGGGGTGGAAAATTAAAAAAAAAATTTTTGGCAAAACTACGCTTATGAAAGAAATTAATAATTTCATTTGAAAGTTTGGGAAATTCTCTACAAAAAACGTTGGTAAAATTTTAAAATCAATTGATCCTGGTAAAAGTTATTGTCATTAAAAAAATTATATTTAAAAATTTTATAATTTTAGTAAAAAACTCATTAATAACACTGTGCGACAGCCGAAAAATACTTTTTATCGGACCTACTAGAGGTTGTAGGTGACAAAAAACTAAGCAGAATGATATATTAAAAATTTCACTAACAACCCCAAAATTTTGATTTTACACCCAAAAAACCGTTTTCACGTATATTTATTACTAAAACCCTTGTAACTTTTCTATTTTTGCACCGATTTATAAGTTTTTTTTCACTTTGAACCTGAAAAGCAGGGTCTTTCAATTTATTGCAATTTTTCTATTTGCAAGATTAGTAGCAAAATTAAGTATCTGTCAGTTTTCCTTAATTTTTTATTCTTAATTGTTTTATGTAAAGTGCTTCTGAAGTTTTGACTATTTTTTTGTATTTTGGCCTTTCTAAGAATAAGTTTTTCTGTAAATATTAGTTTTATTTTCCATATAAGAAAAACGTAGCTGGCCTCAAAAATGAAATTGCAACATATTTTACAAATATACTTTCTGTTAAGAATATTTTTATTGCTAACTAAAATTCAACTTAAATTCTTAGCGTTTTATATTGTATATATATTTCTGGATGAAATCTTTCACCTTGATCATCACTTACTTGCTCAAGGTTTACGGAAAAGAAGACCAAATGGAAGTGCAAAAAATAAGTTTTTATAGATGTTGCAATTTCATTTTTGAGGCTATCTACTTTTTTCTTACATGGAAAATAAAATTAATATTTACAAAAAAACTTATTCTTAGAAAGACCAAGAAACTAAAAATGGTCAAAACTTCAGAAGCACTTTACATAAAACAATTAGGATAAAAAAATTAAGGAAAACTGACAAATACTTAAATTTGCTACTGATCTTGCAAATAGAAAAACTGCAATAAATCAGTCAATTTTTAAAGAAAACTATTCAAATAGGGCTCGTTCGACGCACAATTTAGTACGCTTGAATATTATATGAAGAAAAAAAATGTTTAAAACATAATTAATGCCGTAAACATGAGTTAAAGTTGAAAAATTGAGGAGAAACTGACAATTTCCACACTTTCTTGGAACTTTTCTCTTGTAAATATTACTTTTAACAAAAAACTTTATGTGGGTTGAAAAACCCTGCTTTTCAGCTTCAAAATGAAAAAAACTTATAAATCGGTGCAAAAATAAAAAAGTCACAAGGGTTTTAGTCATAAATATACGTGAAAACGGTTTTTCGGCTCTAAAATAAAAATTTGGGGGTGTTAGGGAAATTTTTAATATACAATTCTTCTTAGTTTTTGTTACCTACAACCTCTAGTAGGTACGATAAAAAGTTTTTTCAATTTTTTTTTGTAATACAGTGTAATGTAAGTAAATTATATTAAAGTAATATAATCATTTTAATTTAGACAATGCTTACACAGAAATCCGCCAATTAATAAAATATTATGAAAAAATGTAGACGATATCCTATATATTGTTTCAATATTAGTTTACGGGTTTATAGTTTCAAAATAGATTTGGAGAACATAACAATTAAGAAATATTCTGATAAAGTTATAAGTTTTTACAATTTAAGAAATACAAGTGTCTATAAAATAATTAAAAAAATTGAAAAAATCCATTCTTTTCGAATTATCAACCATTGAAAATAGGCCTATATTTACATAACTGAAATTTTGAAAATTCATAACTCGAAAATGTGTAAAAAAAATACATATCTCTTTTCTTACTACAGAACAAGAAAAAAATATATTTCGACGATTTTAAAGAGTCGACTGAAATCTCATGTGAAATCGACCATTATAATAGTCCAAACCATCAAAAACTTTTGCTTACCATACATATTCTTTTATCATTTGCACATTTTTGCATAAGGGAAGTATTGTTTTCCGACAAATCAGCACATTTTTCTCCATCTTCCATTGTATCGCATTTGTAACATAAAAGGTCATTTACACGTTCAGTTGCTGCATGAGTTCTATGTTCTTTAGACATAAGCTGTCCTAATTAGAAGTGAAACTTTATTATTACATCAAATCTTTAAAAAAAATTATTATTATAGTATATAAATATAATAAGAAAATTGTGTTGGAAAGGATGGTTTAATATAATAAATGTGAATTTCATACCTTTACTAAATATTACTAAACACTGACATGACAGAATAAAAATGAAAATATAGATTTGATGCTGCATATTCAGAATTGTTTAAAATAAAAATAAATATACATTTGTATTCAGTTTCCACTAATAGTAATTTTATTCTTTTCAATAACTTATTGTTTTTGATGTTTTAGAAATATTCATTTGTAATGCTTTTGATTTGCAGATGAAATCTAGAACTATAAACCTCCATGTGCAAGTTTGAAGCGCAAGCGTAGAAAGATGGTTGTGCAGGAAACTTTCGAATAATGAAAATCGATTTTTCTTGCAGTAAGGATGTACTGCCTAATATAATCTCTTAATATTACGTTAAATTCATATTTAAACTGGTTTATTAAATTTCAGGATAAATGTTTTTGAAATCTATTTGCGTAGGATAATTGGATAGATGTTAGTTTCTAATGACTTTTATATTTTAAAGTTACTTATAAATTCATTAAAAGGGCATATACATTCAAATGGAAGAAGAAATAACGATTCTTCTTGAATTTATTTAGAAAAACTTGCGAATTTATTTAATTATTCCACAAGTTTATTATAATATTCAATAACATTCAAAGAATATTTCATAATTTTTTATAATAAAATAATAATAATTATAGTAGTTTTGAAAAGTGTTAAAGTTGAAAGAGGAAGTGGGATGATAGAATTGGATGTATAATACTAAAATTTATTGTTATCACCATTATTTTTATCTTCCCTAGATTATAGAACAATGGTTTATGAAAAAACCAATGATGAGGAATAGCAGAGGTAGAAAAGACGGGGTGGTGGGGGCAAAGGAGAAAGACGTTCCTGTGTATGAATGCAATAATTGTAGGGATGAGATTCTCAGGGAGGTTGTAAAACTTACTTTGTACAGTAATTTTAAAATAAAATTATTTAAAAAATGAGCAAACTTCATTTAAATTAAAAACATTTTCTATGAAATCGTAAAATTATAAAAATTGTATATAAAAGACGCTATGCCAATATTAAAAAAACCAATTATTCAGGTAAATTTTTTAAAAAGGATTGTTAATTTTGAACTTCATTAAATCATTTTATTAATATTTAATGACATTTTCATTTACAAAGTAGTATAACATATAAGTTTTATTTCGTTTTAAAATAAAAAAATTATAAATCATTTTATTAATATTTAATGACATTTTCATTTACAAAGTAGTATAACATATAAGTTTTATTTCGTTTTAAAATAAAAAAATTATAAATCATTTTATTAATATTTAATGACATTTTCATTTACAAAGTAATATAACATATAAGTTTTATTTCGTTTTGAAATAAAAAAATTCTAAATCATTATTATATATTATTTATATGAAGAGTATAACCTTCAATTTTTAAATCATAATATTAAAATTTAAATAACTCCTGAATTTTTAAGTAAAAACACGCAATTTTTTGTTTTTATTTTTCACAATTTTTTTTAACTAACTTAAAATAAATTAAACACATCATTGGCTACCTCAGATTAAACTTTTGTTCAAAAATATTCAATACAGGCTGTGCAATATACGTTTGAATACGTCGAGTCCAGTAGACCCGCAGTGCCATTTACATTCAAACGTAAATGTAAATTGTAATTTAAATGTGATTTAAAATGAAATTATTTAGTATTTGAATAAAAAATAAAACTATAGAACATTTTATAGTTTTCCTTCATTTTCAAAAAATCTATATCCGTTAACAAAAAAAATGGCACGCATTCGACAATTAGTGTATTTAAATATTTAAATATGATGACTCCTAGGTCATCTCTCCCCAATAAAATAATATCATAATAAAGTGTAATAAGGACGGGACAAGTCCTCCCAGGTCAACTCTCCACAATAAAATAAATTTTCAAAAATGTGTAGTAAGGACGGGACAAGTCCTCCCAGGACATCTCTCCCCAAAAAAATAAAGTTTTAAAAAAGCATAATAAAGATGGAACAAATCCTCCCAGGTCATCCCTCCCCAAAAACGAAGTTTTAATAAAGCGTCGTAAAGATGGGTCGAGTCCTCTTAGGTCATCTCTCCCCAAAAAAATTAAGTTTTAAAAAAGCGTGGTAAGGACGGGACAAGTACTCTCAGGACATCTCTCTCCAACATAATTAAATTAAATAAATAGTGGTAAGGACGGGACAATTCCTCCCAGGTCATCTATCCCCAATAAAACATAGTTTTAATAAAGCGTCGTAAAGATGGAACAAGGTTAAAGATGGAAACCGCGTTATAAAAAAAAGTTTTTAATTTTATTCAGTGCTGAATGATTAGAAAATGATGATTGAAATTTATTTATTTGCGATATTTTTTCACACGCTATGAAATAAAAGGAAAAAAAGTAAAACGTTTATTCAGTAATTTTTTTTATATAATATAAGAAAATTAAAATTTTGATTGAAAAATTGGCAAAAAATTAGCAAAACAAATTTGTTTATTAGAATTTTTAGATACAAAATTGATTTCTCTTTGACTAAAATTTGAAGAACATAATTTTATTTGCTAAAAAAAATTATTTAGAGTTTTTAAACTAAATTATGTTTAGAAATTTGTATTCTTTGCTATTTGAAATAATTAAAAATTTAAGAAAATTACATTCTTATGTGTAAAACAATTTAGTAATTTTACTTTTCTATAATAAAGTCTTATATTTATAACATTTCTAGATATTTTTAAAATAAATTTTGAAAAATTGGCAAATAGAAATTTTACCTGGATTTTTCAAAATTAATCATTCTTTTATCATTGAATAATACTTTTTATTATTTCTTTTAAATTAAGCAAGGACAACAATTACAAAATGTTGGAAATCAAGTTTAATCTCAGGTTCAACCAACTGACCAGGAAACTTTAGTTCAGCTTTCTGTTAATCCAACTCCAAATCAAGATATACCTAAAGAAACCAATGATTTACTTATTAAAGTATGTGAAAACGTTTTAGCATTTTCATACATATATATATATATATTATATACTTTAACATAATTTTACATTTTTAAATTTTTATAAGATATTTTTCAAAATTTATTCTCGATGGCCGCAAATAGGCGAAATTGACAGTCTCCATTTTACATTTATTTGTTCATTTTATTATTTATTTTGTCTTTTATTGTCTTTTTTACAATTTTCAGTTTATTTATTTTAGTCTTTTTACAATTTTATTTTTTGACTTTTGTTTATTTTACTTTTTATTTTATTTATTGACTTTTTATTGTTTTCTTTTCTGGTGTGCTGTTGATTCCGCTTGACATTGATTTCCGTTTTATTTTAAAATTGGTAACGCAGGATGTCCGCAGCAATGGACGAAGCCGCTTTTGCAAAAGAGTTGGAGCGCCACCCTCGTAGGCAAAAGTCTTCACGACAGTACCGAAGGTGGATAAAAGGGCTCCCAAGAAGGGTTGACGGGTTTTTAGTAGGTCGGGGCTGGTAGTAGTCGCCAGCTTATTTTGTTTAGTGTTCTCCTTTTTTTTTACCAACCCCACATAACCTTGGCATGCGGAAGCCAAGGTATCTGTATACAGATTTCCCAATAGTCCCTAAGCTAAAAAAAAAATAAGATCAGAATGTGATGCAAAAATTGTCCCTAGCGGATGGGTTCAACGCGATTTGAACGGAATAGCGTTGAAATATTCCTGCAATATTACAAATAACAACTTCTGAAATATTCAGGAAATATTTTACAAAATGTCCAAAATTTTTTGACACATGAAATCAATAGGTATTTTCTGAAATTTTTAACACCCTTAGGATTCTAGAAAACTAAAAACTACTGCGCAGTTGTACAGGCCATAGTAACTGAGATCGACCAGTGCGCATCATTTAAGTTGAAAATTTCCTGAATATTTCAGTGAAATATTTTCTCAAGTTGACCATCAATATTTCCTCATAAGCGGACATTTTCCTGTTTGCAGCAATATCTCAAGGACTTTCCACTGAAATATTCCAAAATTTCAGTGAAATATTTCAAAAATATTTTGGAAATATTATGTGCTGTGTGGGCAGGGTTTTCTGTCAAATTTTTATATAATTCAATGAAAAGTGTTTTAGATATGATTTTTGAATAATAAAAAAACAGTGAAAAAGTATTAATTTATTATTTTAATGCATTTGAAAGGGTAATAAATAGTGAAAATTAATGTGTTTATTGTGTACTATTTGTGTGTATAGGACAACGTTTTTCGACAGCAAGTTACAGGTTACATCGGTGAACGCTAGATGGCAGCACAGTAAACAATTAATAAGACTTTGACAAGAAAAATATTTAACCCACTGAACGTCGATGATGCATCTAGACACAAATAAAAAAAAATGCTAAATACTTATTGAATATTCTTAAAAAATGTTACTAGGGGGTTTTCGGGGTCGCTAATTACAAATTTAATAACAGATTTCCAAAATTTAAAATACCAAATAAATACGGAGGAATAGTAAGGAGACCGATCTCTGCGTTTGAAAAAGTCAAAAAAACATGTACGATAAGTGCCAGGTTCAGTGCATTGTACTCAACTGGCCAAAGTAAGTGAGCATGCGCATTGGACCTTAATTTTTATTTACCACTGCGATATTGTATCTCCAAAATCATGTTTAAGTATATAAAATAAACATTAATAATAATTATTAAAATAATAACATAACACATAACCCCTTCATCACAACACGCATGGAAGACTTGAGAAATATACGTCAGCCAGATCTCACTCGCACACTTTTTGCGAGAGAAAGAGACAGCACATGGCTAATGCGCATGCTCAGGTTTTTTGATGGTTGAGTAGAATGCAGTGAAACTGGCATTTATCGTGCATGTTTTTCTGACATTTTCAGAAGCGCTACTACAGCAAGATCGTTCTCCTTACTATTCCTCCGTGCAAATAAAATATAACAAAATAGAAAAAAATTAAAACATAATCAAATTCTCCATCAGCTTGCTACTCGGGGGTTTTTGGGGTTCGCTGATTACGAATATAATAACAAATTTTGAAAATTCAAAATCTTGAAAGAAAAAAAATTAAACTTAAAACAAATTCTCTAAAAGTACGTTACTCGGGGGTTTTTTCGGTCTCTGATTACGCATATAATAACAGATTTCCAAAAATCAAAATGGCGGATCCAATATGGCGGATCAAAACAATTAAACAATAATCGAATTTGTTATTATATTCGTAATCAGCGAACCCAAAAACCCCCGAGTAACAAGTTGATGGAGAATTTGATTATGTTTTAATTTTATTCTATTCGTTATATTTTATTTGGTATTTTGAATTTTGTAAATCTGATATCAAATTTGAAAACCCCCTAGTAACATTTTTTAAGAATATTCAATAAGTCTTTAGCATTTTTTTTTATTTGTGTCTAGATGCATCATCGACGTTCAGTGGGTTAAATATTTTTCTTGTCAAAGTCTTATTAATTGTTTACTGTGCTGCCATCTAGCGTTCACCGATGTAACCAGAAACTTGTTGTCGAAAAACGTTGTCCTATACACACAAATAGTACACAATAAACACATTAATTTTCACTATTTATTACCCTTTCAAATGCTTTAAAATAATAAATTAATACTTTTTCACAGTTTTTTTTATTATTCAAAAATCATATCTAAAACAATTTTCATTGAATTATATAAAAATTTGACAGAGAACCCTGATATAACAATGTTCCATATTTTATCTTTTATTTCACTTATTTCGTTTTAAATTGATACAAATAAGGTCTTAAATTACTCATGAACACTTTTTCTACAAATACCAATAAATACTTTATTATATTTTATTGTTTAAATAACATTTTTAGTGACCGTTGTGTTCCCAACGGTGTTTCAACGCTATTCCGTTCAAATCGCGTTGAACCCATCCGCTAGGGGTAGTAAAATCCTACGAAGATCAAGGTTTTTTGTCTGAGAAAGCAAGAAGGATTATAGTTCCGGGTTACTTCCGCAAATAAGAAGCGCAGTTCATGAAAAATTATCATGGTCAGCCTCTGGACTGTTGGGTGTAAGTATTGACTTAAAATTGAAAATTGTATTGAATTTCAAAATTAAAAAATTTATTGTACATCAAGGAAATCAGGAAAACGTTATCGAAAAAGTTTTTTTCAGACAAATTTTTGAAATTGAATAAAATAAAAAATATTAAAGGAATTAAGATTTTAAACAAATTAAATTGGAATATCAATAAAATTAATTCAAAAATGTTTTTCTTTTTGTTAAAATTCTTTATCTAAAAATGTTGTCAAGAAAAATTATTTTAATGTCAGTAAAAAGAAAATGGTAAAATGGATTCTTGTGGCAACAATGATATTACATTTTATAATTATTTTAATAGAATTGAAGATGAAGAGTTGAAAAAAGTGGTTACAATTATTGAAGAATTATTTCCCACTGAGTGTGCAGCCGTATATTTTACCGAATTTCGAATGGAAAATGGAGTTCGAGTTACGGGATTTGGCAAGCTTCGCAATCGTTTCGAATATTTAAAGACGAATTTAAGAGCACAAGGCATTTTAAAATCAGCAAGATCTCAATTAACAGAACAAAACATAGCTGCTAACACTACTATAATTTCTGGTAAAAAGTGTATATTTATTAAATGTGTTTAGTCTAAACAAATAAATTTAATTTATGATTTTTTTTAGATTTTATGACAGAAAAAATTAAGTATTTGGAGATCCATTCGGACGATCCAGACACAGTGAAACTGTATTGGACAGTAACTTTTTAATTCAGGCAAAATCTATTAAAAGTTGAAAAAATAAGTGTCGATGATTATCTCGAAAAATTCAAAGCTTTACGAGAACAGTTAGGACCAGAATTGGTAAAGCTTTTAACTATTTATTTGTCTTAACCATTAAGTTAATACTGATGTATTTTATTACGCATTACTTAAACTTTTACAAATTGACATTGATTTCAATTTACTATACCCGAATAAGCAAAACATTTTTCTTGACAAGTGGCCGGTGTTAAAGAAGTACTTTTGACGCATGTAAATTCAACGAAGTTATCGCCAGCGGAGAAGAATTTTTTAAGATTGTTACCGTCTTTCTTAAATTAAAGAAATGTCTTATTACATAAGTTTTAATTTTTATTTTACTGTATGCTACTCGCAATCTAATTGCAACTGAAAATTGATACCACACCCAAAAATATTAAGCTCAACATTTATTATTTTCATTTTCTTAGATCAGAAATTTATCAAATTTCATTTACTTTTTTTATAATCCGTCTCCTGATTTTTATTAAAAATTATGTAATTTTTATTAATTATAATTTGTAATATTTTAAGTAAAAAAAAAATTAAAATTCAACAATATTTTTTTATTAAAACTGTCGCGCGAATAATATCTTGCTAAAATCTAATTTTGTTTATTTTATATAAGTGGAAATATATCATTTTTGTAAAATTTCCAGACAGTATAGCTGCAGTTATCTTCTATTTGGTGAGGAAGGTAATACCATGCACTAAAGGGAAACGAGGAAAACGAAAAAGAAATAGTAATGAATCAGACGATCCAGAAAATTTTGTCGAGAACTCAAATTTAATTGCGAATATTAGAGCATTGGATAAATTTTTTCGAGATTTTAATAATGATACTTATCGAATTTCATATATGTTGCAAGTACCAGTAGGTTTACAAAATGAATTTAAGTAATTAAATACTTTTCCTTATTTGAATTTTTTCAATATGTTTGAAACAAAAAAAATTAATTCACTCAAAATACTGTAAATTGAAATTCTATGTATATAGTAAAAGATTTTTAAATGATTCTAATTCACAAAATATTTATTTATACAATATTTCATTCTAGACTCCAATTGAAGAGGATGCAACATTAGAAAAATTGAAAGAAGTTTTCTATAAAGAAAAATTGACCGTGCAACCTCTTACTGTTGTAGTTGGGTCAATAGTAAACGTTCAACAGATCTACGTCGTTATAAATGATTTGTGGTTTAAAACAGAATCGTTTTTAAATTCTATTGATTTAACATTTAAAGCTTTTTGTGCTTTTGACTGTGCCTATCCCGAAAAGTCAAAAAACTTTTGGCAATTTTTGCAAATTGCGACTTTTGAAGTTGAAAGTCCCAGTGATAGAATTGCTATTGCAGTGAAGAGTCATATTAAGCAATTTAACTTAAGATCCTCGAATGAAGGTTAACTTTGAATATTTTATTTAAAAGTGTTATTTATTGTTTAAAATTTATTGTAATACTCTAAACAGTGGGCATGATAAAACGTTTCCCAAACTTAAATGAATGTTAAAATTATTGTTCTTTTTGCAGTTTTCTTTTCGTTAGTCACAATGTTTCAGTGTTTCATTTGTGAATTCTCTTGTCGTGGCAATAAAGGTCTAATTCTTCATGTAGAGTTGTCACACAAATCATCAAGAGAATTTTTTTGTGAAGAAAATAATTGCTGTCGAACTTACCAAAATTTTGATTCATACAAAAAACATAGACTAAACATACAAATAATATTCCTTCTTGCGAAATTAAATATAATTTGGATATTTCGAAAGAAATAGTTCCCGATGTTGCAAAACAAGTAGCTTCCGATGTTACAGATGAAGTAGTTTCTGATTATTCTCGAACTTTGATTAACGATTCCGATGAAGAATTTTTTTACTCAGATTCTGACAGTTCATCTGATGAGGAAGATGAGGATTTTTATGATTTTGATGAATCATCGGAATTAGATGATTCGATTTCAAATACACTAACACAAGAAGCAAGACTGTTTACAGCAAAATTAAGTAAATATCCTGATGTTCCTCGAACAACAACTACTGAAATAATATCAGACGTTAACTCATTTTATGGAAATAGTATTCAGGCAATTCAAAATGAAGTACGCAGAACTGCTTTTGAATCAGGTAGGGATTCTCTAAAAGTAACAGAAATTAACATCATTTTAGAAAATTTTTCATGTCCTTTTAAAAATTTTAATACCGAGAAAAAGCGTTTTTTTGATTATCGAAACAAGAAACTTTTATACTTCCGGAAAATTATAAACTTTGGGGAAAAAAATTATAGTCGAAAAGCGGGGAGAGGGGGTAAAAGGTTTGAGTTTTTCTATGACTCGCCATACTTTGTTTATTTATTATACTTAAACGAAAAAATAATTTCTGGACATGATTCCTTTAGATTTTTTCATAACCTTTGGATTGGCGTAGTCCATTTTGAAAAAAAAAATTTTTGACCAAAATTTTTGAAAATTAAAAATAAATTTCGATTTTTTTCATCTTCGGGCACGTTTTTTTAAATTTTATTTTTATTGGAAAGTTGAGATTTTTTCCCACAAAATACTTAATTTTCAAAAAACCGTTTTTTTGTTTCCGAGAAATGAAATTTTGCAAATCGCGCTGCAAGTCAACGAGAAGCAACTCTGCCTCGCGCCACCCAAATAGCACGGAAACATGCAGCAAGTTTGCAGTGCAAGGTTTGAAAGTTTGTAAGGTAAGTTTGCAGCAAACTTGTGGGAAATATTGAAATGTCCTCCCTTGGCAAGTTTGCAGCAAAAACTTTCTGCAAACATGCTAAGCAAAATTGTCGAAAAGTTTCAAGAACAATTTATAGCAAAATTGCGCTGAAAATTTTTAGAAATTTTAAAATGGAAGTTTTAGTAAAATAAATATTTAATAGTTTTATGCAAAATTAATTTGTCAATTTCTTATGAATTTAAATAATTAAATCACAGAATAGAAAAGGAGAAATAACGAAACAATTGTTTGAAAGAAATTTTTTTAAATTTATTCTCAGTGACTTTATACATTTGAAAATATTTGTTATGGAACATTTTTAAAATTGAGTACAATTTATTAGCCCCGATGTTAGTGGCTTAAAAACATTAAAAATCGAGATAAGGTAAGTAAAAATATTTATAAATTTTTTAATTAAATACAAAATAGTTATAAAATTTTGAACAATACAATTTTGCTACAAATTGTTCTTGAAACTTTTCGACAATTTTGCTTAGCATGTTTGCAGAAAGTTTTTGCTGCAAACTTGCCAAGGGAGGACATTTCAATATTTGCCACAAGTTTGCTGCAAACTTACCTTACAAACTTTCAAACCTTGCACTGCAAACTTGCAGCAAACCTGCTGCAAGTTTCCGTGCTATTTGGGCACTCTATTAAGCAATGTGCGTAAATAGTTTATGGTTAGAACGTTATATTGAACTTCTTTCTGCATTTTATAGGGTTGAGACTGCCATTAAAATAGTATAATGCCTGCATTATAGTTCTTTTTTTTAATTTTTTTAATTTTGTAATTTTTTTTAAATTTTTTTTATTTTTAAACATTTTTTATTAAATAAATTTTTTAAACATGTGTTTTTGCCAATAGCTTTTTTATCTTTTTTTTTATTTATCGATTTTTCACCCTTTACTATTTTCGTAATCGTTTGTGTTCTTTTTGATTTTGAAACTTTATTTGATTGCTTTTTGGAACTTTTTTCTTTATAACCTTTGATTTCGAAAACAGGTCATATTATATGTCTAATGAACATTTTTTCAGAAGTAATTTTCAAAATAAAGTTTCGAAATCAAAAAGAACACAAACGAATACGAAAATAGTAAAGGGTAAATAAAACGATAAATAAAAAAAATCGGACAAGTGCGAGTTACACTCGCACTGAAATCGAGGCTTCCGTACTCGAAGTGAACTTATTTGGTATAAAAACAAATATTTTAAAAATATGTGTTGTATGTTAAATAATATATGTGATACAAAAAGGAACAATTTAAAAAAAAATTTAAGAAAATTCTTCCTCCTTTGGTATGAAAACAAAAAAAAATTTTAAATATGTGTAGTATTTCAAATAATATAAGTGATACGAAGAGGAACAATTTTGTAAAATTTATGAAAATTGTTCTTTTTTGTATCACTTATATATTCTTTGAAATACAACACATATTTAAAATTTTTTTTGTTTTTATACCAAAGGAGGAACAATTTACTTAAATTTTTTTTTAAATTGTTCCTTTTTGTATCACATATATTATTTAAAATACAACACATATTTTTTAAACATTTGTTTTTATACCAAATAAGTTCGCTTCGAGTACGGAATCCTCGATTTCAGTGCGAGTGTAACTCGCACTTGTCCGATTTTATTTTATAAAAAATATTTTACTAAAAAAATATAAGAAACATAATTTTATTTCAACTCGCAATATTTTGATTGTATTTACATTTTGCGTTTAAATTGAATTTAAATCATTTAAATCACTTAAATGAGTTAAAGAAATTTATTGCTTTCTCCGCGAGGAACCCAAATTTTTATAAAATGAACATAAAGAACCTTCTATTTTTTTTAGAGTTATAACGACTGAAGAAATAAACTTAAGCAAAAAGTCCCTGTTTCCACTTTTTATCATGTTTTTTAATTTATTTCTATCATCTACACATAAAAATACGTAAAAATAGTAAATTTGAAGCCCTTTAGATAAAATTTTTTTCGTTATTGGGTGAAAATTCATGATTTTTTCTAAAATTATCAGTTTTTTCTTCACAGCTCCAGAAAAAACAACTCCAATCATCCTCGCTATATTTTTTTTGTAATCTACACGTAAAAATACGTCAAAATATATAAATTTAAATCACTTTAGATAAACTTTTTTCGATTTTTGCAGAAAAATACATTTTTTTCTTAAATTTATCATTTTTCTTCAAAAATTTGATGAAAGTAAATCATCAACTCTAATAGTGACCGCTTTTTTTCCCTGTATTTTTCCCGTAAAAATACATTTGTATACTAAATATGAACTTTCTGGGTTGAATATTGTGTGCGCTAGCCCGGGCAGAAAAGTAGGAGGTTTACCGATGTCTACGACCGGTGTGTCACCGGTCCGGTCGTAAAGTCGGATATATACCGGTACCGGAAAAATAGTGCCGGGCCGGATGATAAATGACAATTGGCAAAGTACCGGGCTGCCGGTAAATGTGGACATGTACCGGTGACAATAACTGGTACCGGGCCGGTAGTGGAAAAACCACCGACCAGACACAGGCCCGGTACCGACATTGTAGTCCGTTTTTACACGACCAAAGT